TTAGCGTCTACGAACAGAAACATTCACTGGAAAGAATAAAATATCTCCAGAACCATCATTATTAGGCCAAACTTAACAAGAATTTGCACCAGCCGGTGGCTGTGGCCGTCACTAATGAAAGTCCCTCCAACCTGGAGATATGCCAACCCAGAAAAGACGGATGGTTTATCTTCAGTCTTTGGTATGAGCTCTTTCATATTTTACCTAACAGGGCAAACTGTCTTGTTGTCTTCGCATTGTCACTATTCTCTGTTCCTTCCCTGTCTTTTTGTCCAAAGCTCTTAAAAAAAAAAAAAATCAGAACCAAACCAAAACTGAACAAAACAAAAAGGAAAAAAAAATAGAGGGTATAACATAGCAAAATATGGTCTCAATAATCACTTGAGAGATACAAATCAACACTTCTCTACCAGTAGATGAAATACATTTTCTGCTTCGTCTATATGGCATAGACTGAACCCTTAGCAGAGGTAATGGGATGATCACAATGCTTATGGTTCAATTTAAAGTTGAGGAGTTTTTTGTGCAGCTAAGCCGAGGAAGGGGCAGCAAGTTCAACATGTCTTTTGAGACTTTAAATGCTGATACCTATCTATCTATCTATCTATCTATCTATCTATCTATCTATCTATCCATCCATCCCCTATCTATCATCTATCTAAGTTAGAGACAGGGTCTCACTCTGTCACCCAAGCTGGAGTGCAGTGGAATGACCACAGTTCGCTGTAATCTTGAACTCCTAGGCTTAAGCGATCCTCCCACTTTGGCCTCCCAAGTAGCTGGGACTACAGGTGCCTACCACCACCCCAGTTAATTTTTTAAAACAATTTTGTGTAGAGACAAGATCTCCCTATGTTGCCCAGGCTGGTCTTCAACCCTGGCCTCATGTGATCCTCCTGCCTCAGCCTCCCAAAGTACTGAGATATGGCCAACGAATATTAATTCTAAATTAATTATCCTTGGAAAGAACTGCTGACATGTACTGAAACTTATCTTCAATTTTCCGAGAAGACTCCATGTTTGCATCAACTTAAAAAAAAAAAAAAAAGTTTGTTTCTTTAAAATTCTTAATGGTGTCTGCCCACAGCAGACTTAAAGGAGTAGTTAGCTACTGGCAATAGAGCCAACCTTATGAACTCAACTGGCCATCCTGGATATACACTGTGGCAGGAAGGTCCCGGTGAGAAAGAACAAATGAATAAGTAAAATTCCATCACTATTTCAGGAAAAAGCAGCTCATGAGGCAGCAGCATTTTCTTCATTCATAGAGGACAGTGATTGATATTGAGTACAATCTGTATCTTTCTTTGAAAGTTTTAATGAAAGTAGCCTAACAGCCTTGAGTTTTTATTTTCATTATCGAGACAATCATGTGAGCACCTACTAAGTGAGATTCATTCTCACTGGATTCTCACTGGATCAGAGAGAAAACTACAATCTCATTGGATCATACATGCAATACGGTGCTTGGCTATGAGCACTGGGGGCACAGAGTGCTTATAATCAATCATTTCATGCTAACTAGTGTAGTTCCTGGCATGCAGAGAACACAGCAAAAGTTAATTGAAAAGAATGAATAAATAATGAAGGGAAGAATTACATGGACTCTCAGAAACTGCTAGAAATTATCTGTGTTCATTTGTAGTTTGTCTCCCTACTGGACCATAACCCCATTAAAGCAGACACTTCATCTGACTTATCCAGTGTCTAAAACAGTATCCAACTTAGTAACTTATTTGTGGAATAAATGAATAAATATGCACATGAAAAATATTTTTTAGTTGGAGAAGCTGAAGTCATTTATTTAACTTTGACCTGCCTTAATACAATATACTTATGTGTGGAAGTACAAATTGGATAAGTTTAAAAGATAGTATGAACTCATATCAGTACATTCAAATCTTCAATGATAAGAACACTTCTGTTTTTCTTTCCTATAGTGCCTGGCTAGATCTTGTGCTGTAACAACTGCTCAAGATGCAGTTATGAACCAAGGAAATTTAAGAAAGAAATAGTGATTTACTTTTATTTTTCCCTTCAATTGGTAAGAGGAAAGATAAAATACATATTTTATAAAACAAATATAGAGCACAATGTGTGGAAAATTTAGAATGGGGTAAAATATTTTCAGGAAAGTCATAATTCTTAAATATACGAATTATCTTATATTAAAAGATGAGAATATTTGTCTTTCGAATATAGTCCAAATTAGAAGCCAACAGAGAGAGAGATCTTACTTCTGCTTAGCAAAGGATCAAAATAAATTAAACATATTTGCAATGTCTCTGCAACAAAATTCAAGGTGTACACAAGTAAACAAGAAAGAATAAGATTAGTGGTCTACTTATTTACCAATACTTTTTCCATAGTTGGCTTTAAAATGATCTATCTAAATTTACCTGGCACAACACTTTAAATCTAATTAATCTCTGTGAAGGGGTATTTATAAGGTAAAAGGACAACAGCCTCATAACAGTATTTCATACAAAGCTTTCAATCTTCATTTTTCAACCACAAACATATGTTAATCCAGTGCTACATTAAAAATACGAAGAATTAACTTCTTTGTATGTTGATGAGGAAATGCTTTAAAACAGGGCTCAGGTTGCATCAACTTCCTATATCTTATTTATGTATTTATTTATTTTGAGATGGAGTCTCGCTTTGTTGCCCAGGCTGGAGTACAGTGGCCGGATCTCAGCTCACCGCAAGCTCCGCCTCCCGGGTTCACGCCATTCTCCTGCCTCAGCCTCCAGAGTAGCTGGGACTACAGACACCCGCCACCCTGCCTGGCTAGTTTTTTGTATTTTTTAGTAGAGACGGGGTTTCACCGGGTTAGCCAGGATGGTCTGGATCTCCTGACCTTGTGATCTGCCCGTCTCAGCCTCTCAAAGTGCTGGGATTACAGGCTTGAGCCACCACGCCCGGCCTATCTCATTTATTTTAAAAGATCAATTAAATACCCTCTTTGAGTATGCTTCCATAAAATAATTATCCAGATTCTACAGCACAGAGGAACAGATGAGACCCATCAATTTCAATTTCAAGTCCCCTTTCTGTACTTGTTTGCAAGTAGAGACGACCCCCGGACCACATTTTTACATTGCTTTCGTCAGCCATGGTGAATCCAATCTAACACATTCAAGTTCAAGTAAGCTGAGGACTAGGACTAAGTTTAGCCCACATCTACAATCTTTGCTTTTTTTTTCCCAGCTGGGATCGGCTAGTTCTTAAGAAGGAAGCAGAGAAAAATTAGGCCAAACAAAAAAATAGGGCTGAAGGCCTGACTGTCCGTAGGCTGATGGCACCCAGAGAGTGGTGCTCAGCAGCTCCGACAATACTGCTGCTTACTTGGTGGCTTAAAACAAAACAAAACAGAAAATAAATGTGGCCATGACATATTGGCCCCTATCTGAGTGATCAATGTGATCAGATATTTCATAATACTATCAGAACTACCTGGTTCCAAAACATATCTCATAGTGCATCATAGGCCACACATTCCAACTGGTTCTGAACTATTACATATTTTCCTTTTGATTAGACTTTTAAAAGGTGATTTCTTCCAACTTACCCTCTTTCCATAGGCTGAACAATTCAACTGTCCCCATATGAAAAATCTTGGTGCTTCAACATACTGAGATTTAATTTAGTGACTTGAGAACACCTGCCTAATTGATCAACTTTATTTAACCCTAACTAGGGAGTATTTATGATATCTCTAAGCTTCAAATTAAAACAATCTTATAATACATTCAATTTTATTACACGGTTTATTAATAAAAATATCAAACATTAAGATTTGGAATAGATACTTTGTAGGACTTTATTAAACATCTCTTCCTTACTTGACATTTCTCCGCATTTGGTTTTCCTTGGCCAATTCTTTGTCCATTTTAGAACAAAACTTATGTAATCCAATATTGTTCTATTTTTTGTGTATGTCCTAAAATAAACATTATGCAGACTTTTCAATATCTATATAAAATAGATTTGTTTAATAATAAAATGACTTGTATGTAACCTTTACAAATTACCACATTAAAAGCGGAGAAGAGAAATTAATTCATTGTAGAGTGCTTTATGGTTTCTGTCATCACTTATTATATGTATAGTCGTTTGATGCTTAATGTCTTTTTTTTTTTTTTTTGACGGAGTCTTGCTTTGCCGCCCAGGTTGGAGTGCAGTGGTTGAGATCTCAGCTCACTGCAAGCTCCGCCTCCTGGGTTCACACCATTCTCCTGCCTCAGCCTCCCGAGTAGCTGCGACTACAGGTGCCTGCCACCATGCCCGGCTCATTTTTTTTGTATTTTTAGTAGAGACGGGTTTTCACCGTGTTAGCCGGGATGGTCTCAATCTCCTGACCTTGTGATCCGCCCGCCTCAGCCTCCCAAAGTGCTGGGATTACAGGTGTGAGCCACTGTGCCCAGCCTGAGGCTTAATTTCTAATGCTTAAGAGATATTGAAAGAAATAATAATCTGTAATACACAAACACATGAATACATGTGGGATTTTTAAAAAATCATAATAAATCCATGATGTCAATGAACATTTGGCATGAAATAATAAAGGCTTAATATTTTGCTTTCAAGTAAAAGTACTACCGAGTTCCATAAATGAGACAAATATACCCAACATGAATCTTTCTAACTGTTCTTTTTAATATATAAAACATTTTATAGACAATATTTCTTTTGTTTCTTTTTCTCATAAGGCCTAGATTATGGTTAATATCTCATGACACCAAAAGTAATACTGCAACAGATATTAAAGCATTTTTTCAGCCACTTATTCTATAAAATATTAATTGCAAGCTTGTGCATGTGCTGTATATATAGGAGATTAGGTAACTGAGTTCCTGCTCAGTTCCAAATCAATAAAAGATAATATGCAGAGCATCAATCATCATTCACCCTTCCTTTAGTGGAAGATTTTTAAAATATATATTTAAGCACTCATGGAGACAACACAAGCTACAGAAGATGTGAATAATACTTACCAAGGAAGGACAGGTTTTTCTCTAGAAGTAAGTCTCTCAGCAGGACTTCATGCTCATGACCAATGGCACTGGGAAGTTTCAGTTAAGGGGGTAACACAGGCAGAATTATACCAGCAGGAAAATGCTAATACCTGGTCTATACTTTGAGACGAAATGAAGCATTGAGGTAGTTTGAGCAGCCATTTTCACCCTTAGTCCACATCTTTGAGGAATGACATCGCTACACACATCCCCTCATTTAAAAAATTTGATCGAATTTTTCTACAATTTTTTAAAACTTTTTTTTCTTTTTTTTTCTAATAGAGACAGGGTCTTGCTCTGTTGCTCAGGTTGGAGTGCAGTGGCACAATCATAGCTCACTATAACCTTGAACTCCTGGGCTCAAGCGATTCTGCCACCTCAGCCTCCCGAGTAGCAGGGACTACAGGGGGGTACCACCCACCATGCCTGGGTAATTTTTTTTTTTTTAGAGATGGAATCACACTATGTTGCTCAGGCTGGTCTCAAACTCCTAGGCTCAAGTGATTCTCCCACCTCGGCCTCCCAAAGTGCTGGGATTACAGGCATGAGCCACTGTGTCCAGCTTTTTCTATAATTTTTCCATATATTTTGGCAAACAAAGATTTGTAAATGGATGTGTACTTTGTATTTTGAAAAGAAGGAGAGATATTTTAAATGTACTTTAATCTGTGTTAAAAATCTTTCACTTCAGCTGGGCAAGGTGGCTTGTGGCCTATAACCCTAGCCACCTTGGAGGCCGAGGTGGAAGGATCACTTGAGGCCAGTTGGGTAAGGCTCCTAAAAAAAGAATTCTAAAAACAAATTTTTAAATTAAAATCCCTCAACTCAATTTAGCATACATTTATTAAGCACTTAGCAGGTACCGTAAAGAATACTAGGCAGCCTTTGCCCTAGAAGAATTCCTAGTCGTAGAGAGTTCTGTAAATCCTGTGTGAATTCACATTTGTCATCAGGCCAACATTTAGAAACTTCTTTGTTGCACTTCCAGTCGACTGTTGTTGAACTTTTGCGACTTGCAAGTCAAACAAGTGACTTGTTAAGAATATATGTAATCTGCAGGAAAGACATCTTAGTAAAGAGTTGCGGATTAGGGGGTGGGTACAGAGGCTATTTCAAGAGTCTTTTTCTTGTGTGTGTATGTATATGCATCTAAATAGATACACATATGAATGTATATTTTTTCAGTGCTTACTATGTGGTAGACACTGTGTTAAGTGCTTTTAGTATGTTATTTTATCCTCATAATTATAATAATTATTTTATAGATGAGGAAACCAAGGGTCAGAAGGTGCGTGCACAGGGCATACCGTTAATGAGTGGCAAAGAAGATAACAACAAGATCTCTGCCAAGTCTATGTTTATGACCTCCATATAGCTTCTCAAAAGTATTAAAATTAGGTAATAATAATTGATAATAGCTAATATTTCTTAAATATCATACATGAAGTCTTTGTGCTAAATACTTTGGGATACCATCTTACAATAGCCACACAAATAGATACTAATATTAGTCCCTCTTTTTTCTTTTTTTTTTTTGAGATGGACTCTTGGTCTTGCCCAGGCTGGAGGGCAGTGGCATATCTCGACTTACTGCAACCTCTGCCTCCTGGGTTCACGCAGTTCTTCGGCCTCAGCCTCCCGCGTAGCTGGAATTACAGGTGCCTGCCACCATACCTGGCTAATTTTTGTGTTTTCAGTAGAGAAGGAGTTTCACCATGTAGGCCAGGATGGTCTCAAACTCCTAACTTCAAGTGATCTGCCCATCTCAGCCTTCCAAAGTGCTGAGATCACAGGTGTGAGTCACCGCACACAGCCTATTAGTCACATTTTTACAATTAAGTAAAGTAAGGTTCAGGGAGGCTGGGGAATTTGCTGAAGGTCCATGGCTGGTAAATAATGAAATCAGGAGTGGAACATGGAAGTGCTGTGTATTTTCCAAACAGATGAGATTGCCCAAAGTCTGAAAAGGAGTGTAATCCTAGTCTAGTATTTCAATTGACTCAAAAGCATTTGCATTTGGTAATAATTATGTGAATCATTACCTTCATTGTCCTTTTCACTGGTATCATCAACCTGGTCACATCACTCCTTGGCTTACCAGAGAAGCTGATTCTGATCGAGTTCAACTTAAATAAAACTTCTATGTTGTTTGTTAAAAAAACAAAAAACAAAAAAAACAAAAAACAAAAAAAACCCCTAGAGAATTATCTTGCATTTTACCAAAATATACAAGTGAATACTATTTAAATCTTAGAATCCAAGAGATGTGGCCATTTATGTTCCAGCAAAACATGCCCTAAATCATCATTATTGCCTTTTCCTCCAGTTGTCCCCCTGCCCTCCAAGGCACATGGCTCTGCTTTTGCAATTTCTAAAGAGAAACAAAATAAAGGAACACATTTTTAAACCACAAAATTTCACAAATTTTCAGAGTCCATTGAAAACATTTGATGAATAACTCTCAATGGTCTCTCATTGCTAGGGACATCCCACATTTTGGAACTAAATTATTTACTTCTCTCCACATAAATGTGCTCTCATTTTTATTGTTGTAAATTATTTACATCTAAAATGTTGAATCATGAAACTGAGGTTTCCGATGGTACAGAAATGAAACCCACAGCATTTGAAACTTCCTGCATCATTATCTTTCCTTGCTTCACAGTTTATGCTTTTGTCTAATAGCTGTGTCCTGGAGTCACACTTTGGAAAGTTGAGGTGGCTGATTTCTCACATTTTTCCCTTGGTGAGTATAAACTGTGGTGGGAAAGGTGTAGGTGGATATGGCTGCATAGGAAAAAATACAGTAGATACCAAAAAAAAAAAAAAAAGAAAAAGCACAATGATGATGTATATACTCTTTGCTAACTGTGCTTTCTGTGATGTCTTACTAGTAAATGACCAATTTATTTTATTCTACTTATACAAATATAACATTTTCATAATGCACTAAGAAGGTTTAGCACCTATCTTATTTACCGAATGTGTGCTTTCTTTCTCACAACATGATGTAATTTACTGAGAGTAAGCAATGTAAATATTACCAAATTATCAGAAAAACAAACAGCACATTTACTCACATGGAAAAACAATAATTTTTATTCAGTGAGAAATAAAATAATTATTGCTGATCAGTCTAGGAAACATCTATGCAAGTGTATTGATACATTATATGAAACTGCTACTACTTCAATGCAAAGACAAAATCAGTTTCTCTGTAAACTTTCCAGCCTGTTTTATTTTGCATGATAAAAGCAATCACCAATTCGAAATTTTGGAAAGATATGTTTCTTAATTATGCTTTGCTCGATATAAACATATATAAAATGCAAAGTCTAGAAAATAAAACTTATAAAATCTGTAGTTTTACTGGCAACAGACATAATGAAACTGCAAAAATTATAACCTAGTCAGTGAATGTAATTTATAGACATATGTCATTATCTTCATCAATTGAAATCATGTACTACATTAAATTCTACTGGCAGTAACACAGCCAAAAAAGGAAAGTGAATGATGGCAAAAATGTAAGGAAAATACTCCAAACAGAATTTATAATGCTCTATAAGCAAAAACACTTAGACTTTGTCTATAATAATACCTATTATTGATGTATGGCAGTGACCATGGGCAAAACTTGTAAATAACCTCACAAGCCATTTTCTTCGCCAGCAATACAGCAATCTAGTTTCCCGTAAGCATCCCAACTATTACTGAAAAATAGCCTCCTGGCATTTACAAAGCAGTTGACTTCATACTTTAGTCCATGCATACATAATTAGATAGTTATATTTAAAATCAATATGCAATCCTTCAAAAGACATTATGCTTTTAAAACCTTAACTTTAAATTGATTTTTAACTATTTTATGTGCTTTAAAATTAACATGTAATTCAACCCCAGATACTCTGAGATGGTGTTAGTTGTTATATGAATGTGCTAAACTTCACCAGTGTAGCAACATGAGATTGGTACTCCTACAATTTCTAACACTATCATTAATTTTATACTGAATATAGAAGTACAGTTTCACTTTGGTTTAATAAAAAGGTGAGCTTGGGATAATGCTGTGTTTTTACTAACTTAAGCTAGACCGGAGAAACAGACTTGGAAGATAAATACATAAAGGGCTATATCTTCAATACTGAATATTCTTGTAAGAGGGCTCTGTTAAAAGGCTATTTATCAAAGATTACTTATAAAGGCATGATTTTCTTGTTAAAAATGTTACTGATTCTAAGCCTTTGTGAAAGAAGGTGGGATATAAACACATACATGTACACAATTTGACTAGCAGGAGTTTCCAATTACTGAGTCACAATTCATCACAGTGCCATCCATGCTAACAAAATCCATACCCGGAGGGACATGTTTATATTATTAAGAGGGGTGAAATTCATGGACTCAGATAGAAATTATTCTCATAAAAATTACTTATTATTTACCATTTAAGCAGTAAATTATTATAAAAGTAAATCTGATAAAGGATTATCAAAAACCTTACTGTTGCCACAGTACTACTAAATTTATTGATTAATAATGTCCTACTATATGTAGTTACTGTCTGCCCAATCTTGTTTTAAAAAGTGAACATTAACTCTTTAGTAATCTCAATGTCTTTAATGAAAAGTGACTAGACTTCTGTTTTCACAACCTTAAATTTATTCCAGGAGGAAAAATTAACTTCATTTCTCTAAAAATGTTTATTAGGAATCCAAATGCCAGCTCAGATTGTAATCAGCATTTAAGCAATAAGAGTCTGTTGCCTTTAAAATGTGGTGTCTCTGGAAGCATTTTAATCACAACCTCCTTTAACTCCAGGCTCTAAATTTATTCTAGTAAATTCAACAAAATTTGGCTCATTTTAAATGGAAATTTGTTATATTTTAAAAAAAATATTTCCTGGGATGGGTGGATACATTCCAAGACATTATGTTACCTGCCTAATGACTCTGTACCTTTAAACTCATTGAAAACCAAGCAGTTTGAAATAAGCATGTGAATGTGTAACTGCTGAACTGACATCTTCCTGTGGTCTATCTGATATTTCTTAAGCTGTAGAAAAGAATGGTCTGTAGTGACCCTCCAGTTGATTGAATGTAAAATAGAAGAGTATGAAACGTGTTTTGTGAAGCAGAACTTTATGTCAGGTTAAAGCTAGACACATCTCCACTGAGTCTAAGCTCGTCAATTGCGCACCTAAAATTTTATGGGAAAGGATACTGCTTGATGCAGTCCACCAGTGGTCCATAACAGCAGTCGTTCACAATGCACTGCAGACAAATAAGAAAAGGGGTCTGGGGTGGGGCAACTACAAAAACTATCACAGTAAACAGTATCCTAAAAGCAGTAATTACTTTTCTCCCCCCACCACCCCCCAAAAAGGAAAGCTATCAAAAGGCAGTTCAGATTTAATCACAGAAAACAAAAATTGCATGCTTTTTATTCACTATAAAAGCAAGCTATTAAAAAGTGAAATGCTCTTCTTGCAAATATTGCATTGCCATTTATGGTGCACCCTGACCTCAGTGATAGTTTATGATGACAGTAATTAAATGAGGTTTAAAATCCTTTACTCGGCTAGGCAGATAACAGCATTGCCACTGAAAATAGACAGCTGTGATTAATACCTGATAGACCTGATTTGCTAGAACTCCATCTGGAATCTGAGAAGGGTCCCGTAGCATACTATTTATAACAGACTTGGAGGCTGTAGAAGAAAAGAGATGAACTGTTAGCAGATAGTCAACATACTTTTAATGCAACATGAGAAGTGACATATACCTACATATACACAAACCATGAAAACAAAAATATGACTGGCACTAATCATTTTTTCCTTTTTCTATAATCTAACAGAAGCTTTTAATTAGACCATTTTGCCAAGTTTATAAGCCACATTGCCAGATTTGATGATGACCTAATTTTTCCAAGGTAAATTAACAAGTACAGACCTAAAGCATATGTCTCTTTTGTAGATGAATAAGCTTCGGAAAAGCCCATTTGGGGTAAAAAAAAAAAAAAACAAAAACAAATCAGAAAAGAAAATATTTACCTTTTGCAGGTAGGTATTTTATAACCAAGCATATGTATATGAAGAGTTTAATGAAGACAGGTCAGATTTGAAGTCTTTGAATCTGACCTGTCTTCACTAAACTCTTCATATACGTATGCTTTGATTATATCATTAAAATGACTTTCAGTCATGAAAGAATCTTCTAATTCTAAACCTTTCCAAAATAATTCTCATCAACTGCCATAAAATTCTATCTACATTCCACAAGTGAGGAAAGTAGGTAAAATTGACTGAATTGAGAGAATCTTAAATAAGGAAAATCTACACAGAGAGAGACACACACACACACGTTTTCCACCCAAAATATGCCTCAACTTGCAAATTAAGTTGAACCCCAAGAGAACTGCTATAGAAGAGGGACCACTAAGGCAGGCATCTGACGAAGGTGCTATAGCAAGTGACATCCTCTGAAAAGCAAGGTAGAAGATTCTGACCTCATTGCTCACTAGGCATGGGGCAGCCACAGTAGCCAGAATTCCTTTTAATGCACGGGAGAAAGGCAGGCCTCTAGGCTGAAGCTAAGTCAGGTGTTGCCTAGGAATAGATTATTTCAAGGCCTCCAGTGGAGTTATTCACCACAATTTAGCAAAATGGCTTACAGTCTGATCCACACAAGCACAAATTAAAATGCATACTGAATAATTATCTAATTAATAAAATAAATATAGACCACAGATCTACATCATTCAAGTTCTGACATAATTTGGGGTCTAACTTGCTTTCTTTTAAGATTATGTTCTTTATCAAGCTCTATACTATAAGAACACTGATACATAAAACAAATGTTAGTGGCTGGGCATGGTGGCTCACGTCTGTAATCCCAGCACTTTGGGAGGCTGAGGCGGGCAGATCACGAGGTCAGGAGATCGAGACCAACCTGGCTAACATGGTGAAACCCCGTCTCTACTAAAAATACAAAAAATTAGCTGGGCGTGGTGGTGGGTGCCTGTAGTCCCAGCTACTTGGGAGGCTGAGGCAGGAGAATGGTGTGAACCTGGGAGGCGGAGCTTGCAGTGAGCCGAGATGGTGCCACTGCACTCCAGCCTAGGCGACACAGCGAGACTCTTATCTCAAAAAAAAAAAGAATAAATGTTAGTAAATACTGTGGAAATATATAGGGAAATTACATCTTATTCACTTAAGAATAGTATTTGGTCTGCAAAGAAAGAATGGAGTACAATTATTTTAATTACTGCCCACTCTTAGTCATATAACTGCATGCTTATAGAAACGCTTATGTGCTTAGCCATTTGTGAACATGTGTTTGCACTGCAGGTGAAAAGGTCATATTGAATTTCCAAAAGAGAATCACCCAGCTATCCTATCCAACCTTATCTCTACAACTGGCTCTGCAACCTTGGCAAGTTACATAGCTTCCCAAGTTTAATGCCCATTGCTATCTGTAGAAAGTGAAAATATTGTTTAAGCTGACTACCTAAATAAAGTGTTCTCGTGTGGTCTCTAGAGAAAACAGCTAAAGCAGTATTTTGCTAAGTTGAAGTAAGAATCAAATCAGACTTAGGCATTTACTTCATATAAATCATAGGGTTGGACTCAATTATTTCTGAAAGCAATTACCATTGATAAGGGGTACAAATACTGGGAATAGGAAACAATGAATCATCCTCTTATAAAAGAAAAGATTATAGCAGCAATGGTATTAAAAAAATAATGTGCCTGGTAAACTCAGTATTCCCAACCTAATTCTAAGGCCTGGCCAGTCACAGGGGACTAAAGCAGTTGTCCATACCTTTCATCACCTTCTCAAGGGAACTCTCTCTGGCCTGCCACTCGAGTCACCCATGGTAATGGCAGACACATTCTTTTATGTTGCCCATAATGCCAGCAGAGGCTCAAGGAAATAGCAGCACCTTCTCTGTATGGACCCAGTCATGGTAGATTCCAACTCTCACACCCATGTGAAGAAGAGATCACTAATATATAAGTGGCCATGACTAAAAATGCTATCCTATAAAAATTACAGACCTCATACCAAACTATACACAAACTCATTGCTAAAATCATAAAACAAAGGCTGGTTTTTTTCTTAAAAAAGAAAAGGGACAAAACCCTGGGATATAAGAAAAGCAGGTCATTTATTTTCAGCCAAAAAAGGGAAATATCAAAAGAAAAAAGAAACTGATGACATAATTTTCCTCACAATATAAATTTTAGAACAGTAGTATGCTTATCAGGATTAAGAATCATAGGCAATAAACTTTTTTAAAAAGTCTGAATATGTTGAATAAACACTATTCAAATGAAAGGAAACTTGCCAGAGGAAGTCAGTTGTTTTAAATGGAATAATAGTAAAAAGTATATATTGAGTCTACATTCATTTTAACCTCAACAAAATGTCTTTTCTCTTCTTGCAACCCACCATTTTTTAGAGCAAGAAACTTCTAGGAAGTCACTGCCTGTACTGAGGACCCAGGATGTATCCGCCAAGCACACACAGCTCTAACACTAAGGCTTCATGAAAGTGTGTTGGTGTCTCAAATCAAGCCAAATCAACCTACTTTTACACACATATTCTAAAGCTTAGGAACTGCCATCTCAAAGAAATGAATAATAACATCAACCAGATCAGTAAATGTGATTGGACAACCTTGTCATGGCCCAGGCTAAGAGGCCTCAAGAAAGCCTGTGTCTTTTATGGAAGCTGTTCCTAGACCACCTCTAGCCAATTTGCATCTGGCTTTTTTGACCACACTTGGACAGGATTCCTATTCTCCTCAACCTTTGGTAGAGGCATTCATTCGGTTGATTTCACACTTTGCCCCTGCCACTGCAGGATTACAACGAACAGGATTACAATTTTCTACAAAGTATGTACAAAGCAGGAATGTATGAGTCAGTGGCGCTAGATTCACAAGAATAGGAGAAACCGGGTACCTGTTAAAGCATGCTACAGCAGACAGGGAATAGGCAATGCCTGGACTAAGGCACAATGCCTAAGATTATGAACTTTTCATTGTGAAGTATTTTTAGCATAAAGAACTAATATAATAAACATCTGTGCACTCACCACCCTGACCTAACTTCTAAATCTGCAATAAATTTGCTCTAGATAGTCTCATGTTAATTTGTATAAGCTCTTATTTTAAAATTTCCCAGTCTTGCCAGAGGTTGGTTTTACTAACATTTTCATGAGACACAATGTTGGCTCTGTCGATCCTCTTTACTGTAGCATTTCTGCTAATTTCATTTAATTTATCCTTTATCATCATTATTTCCTCGCTCCCACTTTGAGTTTGCCACATTACTCTTTCACTATTTTTATAAAATTCATTTTCAATTTTTTATTTTAAAATACACTTTTCAAGGCTATAATTTTTCCTTTAAATTTTGCTTTGGCTACATGCCACGATTTTGTTGTCATTCATTTATAAATAGTTTATAGTTTCCATTATTTCATCTTTGACCCATAAGTTATTTAAAAACATGGATTTCTGCTGTTTCTAATTTGTGATGTTTATATTAATATGGTTTGTTTTACTTTCTTTGTGTTTTTATATGTGATCAATTTTTGTTAATGTTTTATACATCTTCAAAAAAACTGAAGTTCCTACTTTTCAGCTACAAGGTTCAGATATGTCTAGTAGGTTAAGATTTTAATTGTATTACCCAAATATTCTGTATCCTTGTTATTTTTTTTTCAACTACATATGAAATAATCATCTACTACTACTGTGGAGTTGTCAGTTTCTCCTTATAATTCTGCCAATGCTTGCTTTCTATATTTGGAGACTATATTCTTGGGTGACTGCACTCTCAATTGTTACACATAGACTTCTTCGTAAGTATTTCTTTTGGCAAAGTCATGACTTTCTTTAAGTCTAATAAAGGTTTTCTCTTAAATTCAGTGTTACCTAGTGGTAACACTCCTGCAACACTTTTCTTTTGGATAGGATCTGCCTCACATATCTGGTGTTCCATTTCTTTTTACTGTTGTTATTAGTTTTTTATTTTCTAATATTAATTTTTATTGTACTGATTTCGCCATTTCTTTACTTTGAACTTTATTGTGTCATTATGTCTTGGGAGTGATTCATAAATAGTATTTTGTTGGATTTTCTAAAATCAAATTTGAAAATCTATGCTTTTTTAAAAATGTGAATTTAACCAATTTACATTCATTACAACTGATACATTCAGGCTTATTTTTACTCTCTTATTTTCTGTGTTCTGCTAATCATTCTCTTTCCTTCTCCTCTTTTTTCTTTACCTTCTAGTTAATTAAGTTTTCTTTATTCTTCTTTTACCCTTTATTCCCTTGGAAATAATACATTCTACTCCCTCTCTCCCTCCCTCCCTCCCATCCCTTTATTCTCTTGGAAATAATACATTCTACATTGATTTCTCCCTCCCTTCCTTTCCTCCCCTTCCTCCCTTCCCTCCCTCCCTCCCTCCATCCCTCACTCCATCCCTCCATCCCTGTCCCTCCGTCCCTCCCTTCTCTCTTTCTTTTTTGTATTTTTTTTTTAGTAGAGACTGGGTTTCACCATGTTGCCAGGCTGGTCTCAAACTCCTGGGCTCAAGTGATTCACCCGCCTTGGCCTCCCCAAGTGCTGAGATTACAAGCATGAGCTACCGTGTCTGGCCTCTACAATGATTTCTTTAGTAGTTCTCTC